TCTGTAAGTTAACACTTTTAATTTTGTAAGACATTAGCAATATGTAAAGTTGGAAAACTGAGACTAAAATACAGGCAAAAGAGGACATGATTACTGGGTATCATGTATAGTATGACACTTATGAATTTAGTATTGAGAAGAATAAACAAAATGTAGATATTTACTATTTTGCATTTCTAATAATTTAAGTTTTTTTCCAGAAACTCAGAGATATTTAATAATGGCCATGCTAGACTATTTCCAGTAGATAACTTCTAAGTTGTTTACTTAAAGAATGAACACAAAAGAAATTACAGATCATCCTACTGAATTGCATCCGTTACAGCATGTCCTATTTATGTAGTTACACTTTAATCTCTCTGCGCAATCCAGCTGCTAATAGGGTGGAACCAGACTTCAGCCTAGTATTTAGTTGTTCTTACAGTGCCACGGGGTACCTTTTGATGAAAAGGTATTGTAGGAAATGACAGTAATGACCAGCATTTTATGACTTGCAGAATAGACGTGATTTAGTTATGAGCAACTCTGTCACTCTTCACAATCAGGCTAAAATTTTCTATGCCCACCTCAAGCTCATCCCAACTTCTCTCTTCGTAAGAGAAGAAACAGTTTATTGGAAACTGCTGAAAAAGAAGCAACTTCATTTGGACACATAAATTCTTATTTTTAAAAAGGTGTACCCTTGCCAAACAGTGTTTTTTTGTTTGTTTGTTTGTTTGTTTTTTAAGTTCTGGCAAATCAGCAATTTTAGATGCACAGAACTCTACTGACATTTGCACACTCGCACTCTATATAGCTCTATACCACGACTAAAAGCATTTTAAGATCTTTGTTCCAAGCCTGCAAGATGTTTGATGTTTGTTACATGTAACACTGCTAAATAAGCCTTTTTGTTGAAGTTATTAGGATACTTTCTAAGTTTTTTTGTTGTTGTTGTTTGTTTGTTTTAAGTGACACACCAAAATGCGATTCAACAGATGAGATCTCAACAGAGCTCAGTGAGATGAGGGAGAGGGAAGAGAACACAGAAATATTAATTATCCTGTTGAGTCTTCACCATTTCACATGCACCATCCCCTTCCAAGCATGGGAGGCAAGGTACTTCCTCAGCACAAAAAGTTGTCTTTTACTGCCATCTAGTCTCCAGCAGGGAATCTACAAAAATGAAGGGGGGGGGGGGGAAACACACACACCCAAAAAGACACCAGCACACACACACACACACACACACAGAGCAAACAAACAAAAGCTTCTCTTGCTTATGCTGATAAGCCAAAAAAATGACTCCATGAAGTTTAAGACTCCACTGTTAGGTTTCAAGTGTAGGGTTTTAAGTGCAAGGAAAACAATGCACCATAGTTTTTTTTAAAACAAACAAACAAACAAAAAACAAAAACCCCAGCAATATAGAGCTATATGAAGTCCATTATAAAAAAAAAGTTACAGAAAAATCACGCCATCTGTTAGCCTAAACAAAAAAAATTAAAGAAATAAATTCACTTTAAAATGTAACACGCGATATGCAGAGATACCAACTTATACTAGGCACAACGCTTACAAGTTTATGAAATACAAGAAGCACTATTTGCTACCAATGCTTGTTTGGAGATTGCATGGAACAACAAAACCTCTGCTGTTCTCTCCCTACCTTACAAATTAAAGCTGTCACTAAAGGCTACCACAGTGAAACATGGGAGTACAAGTGAAGTTGCCTTGCTTGTTCTTACTGACCAAACAGCATGAGAAGATTTATGGTGTCAGTTCCAAATCAAACTGCTTGTTAAGGTGTATATGCTTTCCCATCCCAAAGGAAAGAAGGTAATTTGCCATAAAAGCTTGTTCACAAAATGTCAGCCTCTCAAAGCAGAGATTTGTGCCCAGTAACATAATCATATAACCTCTTAGTAACACTTGACAGCGGGGAGATGTACTTCACACATGGCAGACAGAAAAGTCATCTCATTAGAGGTACCTCCATTTCTCACTACCACCACAGCTGTAATAATTTGTCTCCAAAGTTGCCAGCTGCAGGGATAGTGGGGAAACAGGCAGTTGCTATTGACAAGATGAAGAGAATACCTTCAAAATCATGGTATTTCCTACTATGCCATGAACTCCTGTGAAAGGATGATCAAGGAACACTGCTAGCTAAAGCTACTGAAACTAGTGTCTACTCTTAATTCAGAAGTAAAACAAGTCATCGTTATAGAGTGATTTTCACAAAGCAGTCCAAATCTTAACTGTGGACACACTTAGCAAGGATGCTCTTCACCTAAGGAAACAGGGCCACACTAGCTGTTCAGAATGGACACTAAATGCAAAGAGGTGACACCTAACTAGCCTTTGAAACAAGAAAGCCTGACTTCAATTCTTGTCCAAACAAACAGAGAAATAATTTTCCAAAAATAAATTTTTAGGCCTAAATGAGGGCGGCAAAAACCAATGGCAGAGATTTCTCTATTGTCATGTTGGAAAAATGCAGGCAATTGTACGACTAACAAGCACTATGAAATTAGGTCAGTAAAACTCTTCATCTGAATCCTCAGCTTCATCTTTTCTAGTTTCTGCAACACAATGTGATATGTTATGACATTAACACACACAACTCGGACATGACAGTACTAGCTTAAATCAAGGTTACCAGCAACATTACCTTCAGATAGTTGAGAAAAATGCTGGTGGAAAAACACCTTTCTGTGCTTACCTCTGTATTCCATTCTAATCCTCGAGCCCCTCTGTTTTGAAGCAGGAAGAAAGAAGCTTGAACCACTTGGCAGAGCAAGATGACTGCCACAGCACTCTCTCAAGAGCAGTCCCAGCTGAAACTACAGCTTATCAAACTAAAGTGTTTCCAGGAAATCCTGTTGTATCACAAATTCAGGCCTGATGCTTGCCATTATCTCAAATGTTTCGGTAAAAGCTAGAATCTCACAATGAACTACCTGAGCTACTCTGGTGTCTGTTGCCAAGAAAGAGCTTGACCTAGAAACCCAGAAGTGATGCTTTCAGATAAAATAGCGTGAAGGACCAGCGCATCATCCAGCCTGTCAGGACAAGAGACCTTTGGTGCCAAAGGGAATAAATGAAGATTCTCTGAAGAGAAGCAGAAAACACAAAATTCCAAACTGTCATTCCATATTAGTGCTGTTGTGTGCAACACAGCACTGCCCATCTATCTCCAGCCCCCAGTACACAGGCCACATAGGGAAAAGAAAAAGGCAAACATAAATCGCAAAGTATCCGGCACCCTCTGGGATTGCTTAGTTGTTTCCCGGAATGTTCAAAAATATTCTGTTGTTTCCTACAAAGAGCCTGCATCCAATTAAACAGATGTGACTGGGAGTTTCAGTCACATTCCATGCTGATCTACATGCCTCTCTCAGATGATTTCTGAAGTGCATTTTATGAGTGAGGTTGAACACCTTCCAGGCAATGGGCAGATAAAAAGTCTTCCCTCTCCCCTGGCACTACATTCCCACAGCCTCATTACTCTGAAGCACTAAGTTCTAATACACATCCACAAAACAAATCATTGCTACAGGGTGAGACTGCCCAATTTCTGTGGGCAGGTTATGTCACAACAGCGGTCAGGTAAACTCGGCAGCAGCAGGAAAATCTAGAATGCGTAAGGGCTCCTAGACATGGGCAGCATCTGCAGCTGTTGTGCAGCTGCTTCAGAAATCAGCATTAGTCTAATACAGGTAAAACCAGATTCACTACAAGGAGAGATATTACATTTAGCAGCTAAATACCATCACACTGAGACAGTAATGCCTTCTCCTTTCATTCAGCCTCACTCCTGTACTAAAATACAGGGCATCAAGATTCCATAGCAGAAATTAAGTCAGCAATTAGTACTCAGGACACTAATTTATCTGGAAAAAACAAATAAATAAAATGTTTTAAAAAATTATTAATATCATAATGGTTTCAACTCAGAAATGGCAATGAATGAAGAAAAAGAATTTAGAGGCTGACCATCAATATTTTTACATTCCAAGCACCGAACAAAATCAGACCCTCCTTAAAGGAAGTACACAAAGCCATAGGAGGACACAAGCTAAATAGTTCTCTCTACTAATATACTGCATTTGCTAGCCAAAGGATGATATAATTGAGGATATTATAGAATATTAAAAAGGATATTAAAATTGAGGAAAACATTAAGAAAACTCACGTATTCTAACATATTCTAATGTAACTACAATCAATTGCAATGTGCAATTACAATCAGAACTGTTCATTTGAATACAAACTACTAAAACGAAAAACTTCAGTCCTAAGCAGTTCCTTCAAAGGTCATTGTGGAAATCCCACATTCAGTTTTAAATGATGTGCAATTCTACCCAAGGAATGCTAACTCGTACCAGCTGCTAAGTGAGTAAGCACATGCACCCTGTCTCATCTCAAAACAAAACAGAAATCAGCACGGGGAACAAACAGCTCTTAAAAACCTTGGTTTTTGTTCTATTTCTGTTAACTGTAAGGGTTTAGAGGGGCTGTTCATTTTGTTTTATTTGTAAAGAATATTGTCTTAAAATTTTATATGCAATTCAAATCTAGAGACACAAACATATGTGAAGAACTACAATGTATTTTTTTTTTCTTCTTGCAATCCAACTCTATAAAATTTTGTTTGCAAGGTTTTTTCTTCTGATTTAGATAACTATAATCTAGAGCTACTCACTCAGCAGCAGCGGAATGAAGAGACACTTTAATTACAACCTTAGCTTGGTCCCTGCCCTAAAGCTAGCCAGGAATAGAAGGGATAAAAGCCCATAGAAAAAAAAAAATTAAATTGTACCTTACACTGCCAAACGGCTTTCCCCCATCAAACAGTAAAGCAAGTAGGAGGTGGCTGAAATAGACACAAGCAAATACTACAACTGAACACAGGTGAGAATACATGCAGACAGATATGATACTAATTTACAGAGCCACCACAACTGATCTGCGAGGCAACAGCTCTCTCCCACAGAATTAAGCATCAGTCACCTGATGCCAAGTAGCAAAACCAACACCTGAAAAGAGTACAGGAAAAGCTAATGAACACATCAATTAAAAAACTGAAAGGGAAACCACTTTTAGAACATTAAGCAACTGACCTGACCTCCTGCCTTGGAAAATGCAAGTGAAACACAGAAGTGGAGATAGAGAAGGAAATCGTTTTTTATTACAGAATTTGAGAATAGAAATACCTTCACCCAGATGAGATCTCAAAATAAAGAGTAACTGCTTGGTTGCAAGCATCTATCAGTCTTCTAAAGGTTTATTTAAATTTGTGCAACTGTCAAGCCTGTTCCACTGTCTCAAAATAAAGAGTAACTGCTTGGTTGGAAGCATCTTCTAAAGGTTTATTTAAATTTGTGTAACTGTCAAGCCTGTTCCACTGCATCGCTCATTTTCCTCTATCATTGTTGATTCACTTGGTGAAGAACAGAGGGGATGTCCCAGAAGAGGATAAATTTATTTTGCCCATGACTTTAAAACCACACTCATCTGAGACTAGCAAAAACTTCTATTTTCTCCACCCCCAAAAGCAGCAAAAGTATTTTGTAGCCAATTCAGTAGCCAACAGGCCCCTTCCGTTGCCTTTCTAGTCTACTCCCCGTTCTTGGGGTCACATTCCAGGGACCCAGCTTAAACACAGCTGCCACCTCTTACCCACGAGGACTGGACAGCAGCTGCACTGCCGTCTACCGCAGAGCAGCCTTTAACACCGAGGCTAAGGATGACACAGCCTACGAAGCAAACCACACCACGGCGGCAGGAAACAGCCCCACGTCGCCAGGGCTCTCACAGCTCCTCACGCCAGCCTGATGCCAGGGAACTCCGCCACCAACTACGTGCTTTGGACATCTCCCTGGAAGCATCTGTGCCAAAGGCCTTTCCAAGTGGCATCAGCTCCAGCATTCAAAAATTCTGAAGCCCAACTTCTTAATCCGTCGGATCTTGACACATAGATGTGAACTACCTTTGCTCCCACCACTCTAGGGGTTAGGAACCAGCATAATTTGCCCAGGTGTCTCCCAACAACTAGAACACCCGTTATACTGACTAATCACAGTGATTCTCAGAGTCTGCAATTCAACTCCCTTTCAGTATGCCTTTATTCTCACATCCTCCAGAGAGAAGCAATATGAAATGAAAATACGTTATATTACCCTACCCAAGAGCATAACTCTTCAGAAATAATGAAAAACTGTAGCAGTTAATTCTTCCACATCTTCAGTCTAAAAATGATTGGTGTTTAATCTTTAGACAAAATAAAACCACAAATGTATCATGCTTTATACAATAACAACAAAACCAGGAAACGAGTAATGACCACTAAAGAGTAATTCAACAGACATTTCAGACCTACCATTTTCCTCAAATGTCAAGTTAACCCAAAACGTATTTCTTCATTGTAAAAATACAAGATGCTTTGTCAGTATTTCTCTCATTTAAGATGAAAATCCACAAGCCCTGTGGATACACCAAGCCCTGTAATACTGGAGCAGCACTAATAGGATAAAAACAATATGTGGGTGGGGGGTGTGGGGGGGTAAGGAACGCAATATAGCTTTCTAGATTCAATCAGTCTTTCTTACAACCTCCTCCTTTCTCCCCTGACTCCAAATCCAATAAACTTATTCTTCCAATTCTAAGCCCTCTCTAAAAGTAATTCACTTATAATAAAGGAAGAAATACAGCAGAATACACAAGAACATATGAAAAGCTTCTAAAGTACCTTTGCTCTATGACATTTGCAACAGTTTCTATCAATCAGAATATCTAAGAATGACTGATTAGTTCATAAATGTTAGAATTAATGTGTGGTGCTCACATGAGTCAAAAGACTACATAAATAGTCTAAAAGCATAAGAGTCTTTCACCTGTTTAATAAATTGCCCTAAATATTTCAAAAAACGTTTCTCTTGCATATTCATGCAGGACAAAGTTTAAAAAACTCAATTATCTTCTGGTGCTTCTCAGTGGGAGAAGGGGGCATTTGTTTCTGCAGTGCCCTACATCAACTCCTCACTCCCCCCATATTTAGGAAAAATCCTAAATTGCTTTCCAAACTGGCCACAACCACCATGAGAAGATGGATACTGTTGGAAGCGGTAAACCCTCTTTAAGCACTTCATTATAATTTAACATGAAAAATAAACCAGGAATTTGTCTAGATTCCACATCTCAAAATACCAAGTTGTCCCTTGAGAAAAAATATGGGATCACTGGCTTCTGCCAGCTAGCAGTTCTGACACTACTTCACCACACACCACCCCTGAATAAAGCTCCCAGGCCCAACGCTGGGTGGAAAACATCTCCTTTAATGGCGCTGCCAGTAATGACATGACTGTCATGTAATGACAGTAATGACAACCACCCCTGAATAAAGCTCCCAGGCCCTACTCTGGGTGGAAAACATCTCCTTTAACGGCGCTGCCAGTAATGACATGGCTCGTAACATGCCTGAAATGTATGAAGCACAGGACACTTTTGCTAATTCTTTTTGTTAGAAATTCTGAATGATTTCCACATTAACATATGTGAGTTACTTAAGTATTTCTATGACAGGACAGAAGGACAAAATTTTCTCAAGCCAAAGGGAACCCTGAGGCTGGCTCCTCGAAGTCAGCTGGAGGATCACAGACCTGCAGCTAGTCTCCATCCGTTCTCTAGACTGAATGATATTTGCTGCATATTACTTATGAGCCCAGTAATTAGATTTTGGTTTGTATCTTGCATATCACATTCCAGACATATTAAAGACAGAGTCCTGACCCTGTGGCAAGCCAGAGTTAGGGATCTACCTTAAAGATCCTATGTGACAAGTTGCAATATATTTAGGGTCCAATATAGGTAAGGGGGGATGGAAAAAGTCAGATAGGTCAGGCTTCTTCTTAGTTTTTGCACAACTAAGTTTCAAGATTCACAAGAGATATTTGATATTTTATTTATTAAAAGTAATCTCGTTTTTTTCTTTTTTGAGTACAGATTGCATAAACAAGGTGTTACTCTCAGAGCTCTAGAATTAGGAAAGATCTATGCAACCAACATATTCCAAGGTCACCAGTCGTGAAACAGAAGTTCCTAAACAAGGACAAATTTCAAAGAGCTCTCAGCTACAGAGGAAAGAAATAAATGAAGTATGAAACAAGTTAACTCTGTTTTTAAAATATACTTAAGCCATAAACTCAAATGACTATAAAAGCACAGGTTATGTATATAAATACATACGATGCTGTTCATTTCTGAAGACTCGTAACTTCCACACGGATGAACACTCCCAATCGGCTCCAGCCCTTCTTCATCCCACATGTATGTGCCGTCAGAGCTATCGGAGGGGGAGAGCTCAAAAGAGGAGCCAGCTCTATAATTCATGTCTGGAGAAACCATGTTCTCAGAAGTATGCTTTGTGCTTTCACTGTTGTCATCCACTGTTTAAAGAAAACAAGAATAGCCAGGATTATAGAAAGAACCCAATATTCCAAAGTACAAATTAACATGTATATTCTTGGCATGTCAGAGGACTGAAACTGTGTTGTAACACACTCTATGACAGTGTTGAAGTTCATTCTAGCAAGAAAAAAAGCTCAAGCTAGTTTGGTTGCATCAACTAAGTATTCATTCAAGCTTTTGCTAGTCTTTTATATTGCATTCGCCTATAATGAAAGGTAGTTTCTATAATTCAATATCCTTTTAAACACATTAGAGGGTACATCTAAAAGTGAATCTTTTGGATCCACATCAGTGACACTGTAATTTATAATTTATCTGATTTAATTAGACACCCTATGCTTATTCCCACTGCTTAGATATAGTTGCAGGTGCTCTCTGCCTACAGAGAAAACAATATATACAAATTTTCAGAGATTTTTCAGTCCAAAGAAATGAACAACGAAGCAAAGATAAGAGGAATTCCACAAGGCAATCCCAGGTGTGGTCAAAGGAGGTATCATTCACTCTTAATCCAAAGGAAAACAGCTCTTCTAAATAATGTTTAAGATAACTATCATGCAGAAAAAGCACTGTAAAAATGGACCAGCCTAGAGCCACATTCTATCCTGAAACAATCAACAAACAATAGATTACCTAAATAACATATTGATTTAGCTTTTAAGAGTTCAAATAGGCTGCAACAAAGTATTTACCAGACACGTGTATATCCAGCCAGTCCTCAGGGTTACAGTGAGATCCTCCACTTTCCTTGAGAGATGTGAACGGCTCTACCGGTGCTACGTTTCCATGGTCCAAATCTTGAACACTGCCCTCCTGCTGTTGTATTCGTATTGTTCTATTTGGGTCTTCTAAATCTATGAAGTCGTCACTGAAATCCTCACTCAAGTCATTTTTTTCAGAGGATGACAAGGAAGATATAGATATTTCATCTCCATCATCACTCAAACACATGACTTTTGACCCATGTTTTCCTATGCTGTCATGGAGACCCTCACCAGATTCTATTCTTTGTGTATCACTCTCTATAATGCTCTTTTTCTCGTTTGCTCTATTAATATTTGTTGAAATTTCAGAGTTCGCCACCACGCGTGTGTCACAAGTTGTACTTCTGTTGTCATCCACAACCATATTGCCAGTCAATCGCTGTCTGGTAGGCTTCAGCAAAGAAGGTCGACTTAATCTGTATCCAAAAGAAGGTGCAGACCCAGATCCATTCGAGAGAGAGGGCTTCTTTGAACAAGGAGCTGATATACCAGGATAGGGTCTGGTAAACCCATACTTCGTGGGTTCATTTCCATTGGGTATATCCAACTGTCGGGTATTTCTTGACAATAGAGTTGACCTCTGAGATGTCCTAACAGCTAGATTTTGACTTTGATAAGGCTTTGTAAGATCCACAGCTTTATTAAAGGAATGTGACCTGGTTAAAGATGTAGTGGGAAGGAAAGAGTTTGGAATGGAATGTGAAAAACTTTGTGATCTTACCATTTTTTCACAGGAAAATGTCTTATTATTATCTGTAGATTGTGCCAAGCTTTCTCCTGAACTGGTCCTTGTGGCACTGGAATTAGCTCTAGGTCTCTGCAAACCTACCATTGGCCTGTTTCCATAAAATCCATTTAAATGCGATTTTGGAGCACTGAGTCCAGAATATGAGGTCCTGCCTGTCAGAGTACCTTTGGTGAATTTTGCTGAACTAGAGAGTCCAGGCAAAGACTTTGGGTTTAATTCCTCAGTAGAAGATACAAACATATTGGTCTGCTTTGCTGTTTTTGATGCAACTGAAGCAGTGCTGTTCAAACCCACCCTGAGCACATCCTTGCCCAATGCTCCCTGTGATTGGGGATACTTCTCAGAATCAATTAGTTTTTCATTATAATTATGGTTAGAGTTGGACTCTCGTCCATTTTGATCACAAAGCTGATATTTATTCGATTTTCTCCAGTTGAAAGAGAAGGAAGACATGCGCACAGCGCCATTGTGCTTGCTGAGAGTTTTGTCACCATTATTTCCTGATAAACTGACAGCTGTCCCATTTGGCACAGGTTGCAAGACACTTCCTAAAGTTTTTGCTCCATATTTCGGTAGCCTGGAAACCAAGGATGTCCTGATTTGACTTTTTTCTTCCATGAGCTATTGGGTTCATTGGTCCTTACAGGGTGCTTGAATCTGAAAGGAAGAAAGAGAATATTAGACCAGAATCAATCACGGATATTACATACTAGATGCAAATATGTATAAAGTTATATTCCTATCATATCCATGTCTAGCCATACTACAAATGCAGATATAACTCATACTCCTTTTCCAAAATTAATAAAGAAATCGACAACAAAAAAAAGAAAAAAAAATAACAAAAACATACAAAATCCCTCATGCTAGTTACCGTAAGTCATCTGGCAGCAAAATATTATTCAAGTTGCACACATAGGCACACATACACATGCATACTCTCATGATTTTGGTTCTCCAGTTAAACTGTGTTTTTAAATTTCTCCTCTCATTTTCAAGTCTTTAAAATAAGCTTGAAAAGGAAAACCATTATTTTCTTGACCTATTTCGAGTAGCAAACTAAATATTTCAACTCCACTAAAACTACTAAATTACATATTTAAAATATTATATTTATAGAGTGGAGCTATAATTAAACATGGCACAAACCTGTGGTCAGCAAACCTAATCTGTGAGAATCAGAACGTAATGTTTGGCCAAAAACATTTTTTTTTTTCCTTTGCAAGACTACTTCCCATTATACTAGTCATAGCACCTACAGTAACGGATTCTGAAGCTGAAAATATCCTCAAGTACAAATTAAAAAAAGGGGGGGGCAAAACAAAATTATTGAAAGATATCTTTAAAAGGCATTCGAAGATATTCAGTTGCTATTTTGGGAACTTCTCAACTCTTGAAGTCTGAGGAAAGAGAAGTTTCCTAGGAACTTTAGGAACAGTGACATGAATCAGATTTCCATTAGCAAAATCGTTACGGTTTATGGAAAGTCTATTATTTATAAAATTATCAAATGCACAGACTACATTAATATGGCTCTAAAGAAGAGCTTGTGAGAAAAGCCTCACTACTGAAAAAGACTACTTATGTATCATGAGTTATTCATCACTAAATACCAAAAATTCACTATTTTTGTCACAGAGTCATACTATGAAGGTAAATGGTACATATGTGAACAATATCCTCATTCAAGATGGTCTCCAAGCAGATTTGTCTCTTCATATGGAAGCTGTACTCTATTTTGGCCTTTGTCTTACTCATCTACAAGAGCTGAGGTAAATGGCCACAGATGCATATGGTATTCAAGGCACCAATTCTAAGCCAAGGCCAGTGTTTATAAGTGAATTTAAAAGTTTTACTTCTGTGCAGTAATACATGAACATCCAAACCTAGCCCCAAAAGCTTGAGACACAAACATAAGGACAGCATTCGCTTCCATACATCTGAGAACTTCCACCACCCTCGTTAGAAAAACAGGGATTCCATATCCATCTTCACTGAAGATTTATCCTATCTGAACTTACAGTCCTGTTATTCTGGTAGATTACCTTGATATATTTTATATTTACCCTTATGGCTTTATTAAGACATATCTTCACCTCTAAATTTCTTGCTTTGAGAGTTTTTGTCTGCGTTTGATATATTGCTTGTTGTTTCTTCCACACACAAACGACCTCTCTACAACTTCATCCTGTAATTTATACAACTAACTGCATCTCTGTCATCCTTCACATTTAGCCTGTTTCATTTCCTGGAAATACAACATGAAGAGCTTCTCTAAATACTGTTTATTAAAGGCTTGAAATTCTGATAATGAAGCCTTCAGTAGTCTCCAAGTTCCAATTTCCTATCTTAAGACAAGCTTTAACCTTGTGTCAAATTCTATATTTGCAAGACAAGGTTTACTTTTATTTATGTATAAAAGAATATCTTCCTTTTGCTAATGTGCATTTTATATATTAACCTGTTCTATCTGTTGCTCTTACAGTGATGCCAAGCTACATAATTTCAATAGTTCTAATGTTATTTTCTCAAACTAACATTGGTGTTTCTCTCACAGATCTACACACAGCTAAAGGGACTCAAAAAAAACAGCACAAAATAATGAAACCATGGCAATCATGATGAGAATCAGCATACAGCAAGCAACATTATAGCTACTCAAGGTTCAGGAAAGCCATAGCAAGCCTTACCTTAAAGTGAGCCGTTCCCTAAGTAGCAAGGCCTAACTAAATAGCTCTTAAGTTAAAACTGAAGTGGCATTAAACCCATGCAAACTGAAGTGCCCTTAAGGTTTTGTACCTAAATACAATACCCTGGAGCTATACTTCTGGAAGTAGGTCTACATGAAAAAAAAGATACAAAGAGACATGCACGCACAAAGATAAAGCTCAGGCCTTACTAAGGGTTTCTAATGTAAAAGAATCCATATTTGCAACCAGTGCAGAGCTTTTCCATTTAGAAACTACTGTTTGGAAAGTCTAAGGCAAAGTGAATTCTTGCACACTGGAGACATGACCCTCACTGAATCTTATGCAGAAGACTCAGAAACATAAGCTTAGAAGTAAACAAAATAAATGTATGTTTCCTTTTCTCCCATTCAGTTCCTCCTTATATCTTATTGTATATTAGCCTTTCAACTTATTGTTCCAGAGGGGCTACCACGCCTGCAGTGACGGATGCAGGAATGGTGACGACGCCCCTTGTCACCCACACTCTACACTTCCCAATTCTCAAACAAAATTCAAACCCACACCTCCCCGCTCTCCATTATGCAGCTTAATTGCCTCCCTAGCACCACAACCCTTCCCGTGACACACTCCAGAAAAAGCAACACGCAGTAGGTTTGCTGCAGTATTCCTGCACACCCAGGGCATTTGTTTTATCCTTAAGCAAATAACCTTGAGAGCTACATTTCAGGTCCACTGACAATTCATGTTTTCCATGCTAAAAATTCCTTAAACCAAGAACAACAATCATTAGGCCTATCCTTTCTTTCCATTTTTCTAGGCAGTTTACCTGAACATCACACAGCACCATAAAATTTTAAGCTAAACACTGAGCTACACATATGAGGAAATATATGCTGAAGAACTGGTCTTACTAAGCAGGAGACTTTTAAATATCTCTTTTGTTTGCTTTGCTACAATTACTAGCATTAAGAACATACCGAAACTTGAAGTCACACATCAAAATTTTGTTTAAATGATTCTTTAAACAGGCTGTAGAAATTAACCAGTTGATTTGTAATTTTGATCATAATATGCTACCCTTCTACACAGCAGTATATGAGTCAAGAGAAGAAGTATCCAGTCACAAAGAAGCAACATTCAGACTTAATTATAAGTTTTCAAGTGCCAGTTTCAAAAGGCACCGGGAACATCATCTTTTCCTACATAATAATTCACTCAGGGGAGAATGCCCACGCAACCAATATACCTAAGCACATACTGAACTAACACTTTGCCATTACATGATATTGATCACAGATATAGTTTAAAATCAGTCATAACAGAGTAACTCCTCAATGTATGCACAACACTAGCATCCATCTTATAGAAAAAAAAAAAGTAAATTAACTATGTAATAATGGAGAATGTGGCTAGAATAAGAATGCTTCAAGTTAGCAAAATAACACGCATAAAGATGAAATACTTGAAGCTTGTAGGAAAATGGACCAATATTTCAGACTGAAGACTGAAGTCAAACTCTTAAATACACATCTAGGACACGCGCTGAGTACCCCACAGCTGCTGCTGACCTCACTTGCCAAAGTGACTACATGTAGATTTAGGTGTCTAATGCCCTACTTATGCCAGGAACACTGACCAACATTTTCTAAGACGAAAAAAATATCACAGCATTTCAGTCATACTTTGCTACCAATTAAAAAAAAGTAGCTAACCCTCCAGCACACTTGCATACCTTACAAATGAAAAAGTTTTAATATACTTTAATTACATGTAAATATCAAGCATGTCAGCCTGAAAGATACTTACTCTGTATCAAATACATACAGTAAAGGCAAAAGAAAAAAGTATACTTTAAACTTTAAGTATTCTGCACATAAAAATAGTCTCTGACTTGGTAACGCACTCACTCATGGCAGGCATCACACTGAATAGACATTAACAGATATTCCAACTCTTAAAAAAAAAAAGAAGTAAAAAAAAAAGCCTAGAAGTACCTAGAAGTAAAAAAAGGAAGATTTTTAAGTTAAATTAGTAATGTGCTAATTTCAACTACATGCTTTAGGGATAAAGCCCTTTTTTGCATCTGTCTACAGTCTCTTAGGTGACTGCCAACTTTAAATGAAGCCCTTTAAAGAGATTACTTTAATCCTCCAGCAAGTACTGCAAATTAAACTTGAAAAGACGACCATACAATTCTCTAGGAAATGTGCTTACTCATTTACCCTTAATTAGGGAAAGGCAAAATATTATCTCAAGAAAACTACACTGATAGCTTAAAACATTTCAGATAATTAAATCAGTTCTTTTAGAAGACCTTGCTTTTATTAACTCCATAACTGTAATTGTTTTATCATATTTTCAATGCTAGGTTGCATTTCCTTGGTTCTATTTCGCTATCAGGTGAAAATTTCACCTGATTAATGTATTTCTATTATCAAAAATATTTACTCACATGAAATGAAGTAAAATGATATCAAAAACTTAACAGTACCGTGTTTGGCAGAAATTACTTCTCCTGAAAACCAGGAGATAATTCGATCAACCTGGTGCTTTATGTGATTCTCTCCACAGAATTAATGCTCTACAACATATTTGCAATTAATTCTGTTTCTCTGAAATACAACTTCTGTTCACAACTGTGAAGCTGCTTTTCCTGAAGAATCTTTTCCCAGACTTCTGAGAGCACAGGACTCAGTCCTCTTCCCTCAACCTTGGCTATACTGATGTTCTTGGCTTCCAAAGTTTCTCCCTCAAACACAGAGAAAAAACACTTTTGCAGAATGCTGCTGTATTTTATTTACTATTGGTCAGAAAGCACAAGGCCAAAGAATATTAGCAGTGCATGATAAGAAATGCATGTGAAAGTAGGAGAGTACAAGAGAAACAAAGATTGGGACTTCTGAATATCTAACACTGAAAATATCTTCAGTCAATACAGGAAAAAAAAGTATATGGCATTCCTTGTAG